ATGCACACGTCCACCTTGACCATGTACTGGACACGACCAGCGAGTCATGTTGTAGCTGTCAGCTGCCCATACATGTTGCCATATCACCAAAATTTATTTATTTTTAATTCTCTATCGTATAAATCGTTGTTGATGTTAGAATAATGACGTATATCAATTATATTCTAATTTATCTTATTACTCTAATATAGGGTTGCCATATCTGAACATTCAAAAAAGAGGACGCCTCCAAGATATCCTCTCATCCCCGCCTCGCACACACAGGCTAATATACAACATACATGGTATAGAAATTACCTTTGCTTAAGGCTGAACATCTTCATTCCCTTAGCTGCAGTCTTCTTCCCCCACTGTGTGTGTGACTTGATGTGCCCGTGCTGATTGCTCTTTAGAAAGGTATAGAAGTCACTGCAAGATGTTTCTCGGAAGTTGTACTGTACAGTCAGAATGCCTTTCATTGTTTCAACACTCAATTTGTTCCTTTCCTTTGTCCATTGACTTTGCATCAGTGAAAAAACTCTTTCTACATTTGCATTGTGAGATTATAGCAAAGAAGAATAGTGCAACCTTAGCAATTCTGAGTGGCATTCAATGTCTTGATTTTTCAAAGTATCTGGTCACTTTTGTGTGTTGGCAGATTCCTAAATTCTTCATCACTTGTAATTTTCCACAAACTGCTTCAGGTTACTAACTTGGTCAAAGCACATCAACTTCTACCCCTTATCAATCAAATATTTGACAGCTGTTGACAACAACGCTGTATGCATAAGTGACTTATCAGCTGACGAAAACTGAACGAGATCTCTACGGTTTCCAACTTTCCTCTCTCCCGTCATTACAGTTTCATGTTTTTTCCGTGGAGAAAATGATGGAAGCTGAAATTCCGGACTTTTGAAGAATTTTAAAAATTCCTTCCGGATGAAGATTTCGAGACCTAAATGGAGGACATGTCCGGGAAAATACGGACGTATGGCAACCCTACTCTAAAATAAAACCCACACCTCTTTCATTACTTCTAGGAATCGTTAAAAGGCTATTCTTCATAGGGCGAAGCGGAATTTTATTAAAAGAAAGACTGCTGTCCTGACTAATTCTTCCTCTAGTAAATCCTTCTGGTCCTTAGCTAAAAACATCTGTAACAACTTCTGCACGCCTTTCTTTTTCCTCTCTTCCGTCCCAATAACTCTATAGCCAACTCTCCCCAGAAAGCCAACCTCTTGGCACCTTATTCTCCTTAATTCCACCCTTAGATGATTCCCACTCTACCTCCTACCCCTGCACCTCCTACTGAACCTATGCACTTTCCTATAATCTCCACTCGCAGGGTTGCCGTGTTATCCAGGTTGATGTGAGTAAGGCGATGGACCGGACGGAATACCCCTCGTGTTCTGAGGGAGTGTGGAAGCCCTGGCCCCTGTGCTTGCTCGCCTCTTTTGCCTTTGCCTCAAAACCAAAAATTTTCCTTCTTCTTGGAAGCATGCCTTGGTTCAGCCCATCCCAAAGAAGGGTGACCATTCTAACCTCTAGCTATCGCCCCATTGCCCTAACTTCATCCCTCTCTAAGATTTTCGAAACTATCTTGAACTCCCATTTTCCCGTCACCTTGAACGCCTTTTCTTTGTCGGATCACCAGTATGGCTTTTGCCAGGCAAGATCTACTGGTGATCTACTCTCCTATTGCACCCATCTTTGGTCATCCTCTCTAGATTAAAGGAAACTTTTGTCGTGGCCCTCGACATCTCCAAAGCATTTGACAGGGTATGGCACAAGTCTTGCGATCTAAACTTCTTTGGTTTCTCTCCCCCACTTTGTTCTCTCATCTCTAGCTTCCTTGAGAATCGATCCATGGCAGTTGTTGTCGAGGATCGATTTCGCTCTTTCTCTACCAATAGTGGCGTCCCACAGGTTCTGTTCTTTCACCAACTCTCTTTCCTTTCTTTTTATCAATGATTTACTTCACCACAACTAATTCTATCCATTCTTACACTGATGATTCTACTCTTCACTCTTCCTCACATTTTCCCTTTCCTCCTAACTCTCAAACTAGATCTGTTTCTAGAACTGATATCATTACTTCTATCAACCCTGATCTGTGCAGCATCTCTGAATGGGGAGATACAAACTTGGTTAAGTTCAATAGTAACAAAACTCAATATTTACCAATTACACTTTGTAAAGTAGACGATCTCCCACCAATTACATTTCAGGACGCCATCATCCCCCAAATTCTGAAATAAATATGTTAGGCCTCACCATTTCCGCCAATATGTCCTGGAAATCACACATCCTTAGTATAACTAAAGCTGCCTCCCGAGTTGGGAATGCTGTACAGATGCCACGAGTTACTTCACTCTTGGAGCAGTTGCTCCAAGTATATAAGGGATTCATTTGTCCTAACTTGGAGTACTGCTCTCATATCTGGGGTGGCTCTTCTTCTGTCCAACTATTAGATACGGTGGAATCAAAGGCATTTCGTCTTATTAACTCTCCTCCTTTAGTCGACAATCTTCCTTTCTTCGCCACAATGTTGCTTCACTCTCTCTTTACAGGTACTTTAACGGGCAATGTTCAGGGATTTGGCATCCTGTGTACCGCCGTAAGGCCGGGGTTCAGAACACACGCCTTGCCCGTGGAGCCCACCATTTCTGTGGATATCGGTCACACGATAATGACCCTATAGTACCTCCTCACACAGCCAAACTGTGGAATGCTTTGGCCTTCTTCTGTGTTTCCATGCTCTACAATCTGTCTCACTTTTTAAGCTGGTTTTCCGCATCCTCGTGGTGTACATTAATAAAGTATAACCCTTTTTCTATATTTTTAATTTCTTTCCGTTTTTTTTTCGCCCCCAGGTCTGCGCAGGGTCGCTTGACCTGTGCCCGGTTGGTTAATTCTCGTAAAAAAAAACGTTTTTTTTCTGTGTTTCCAAGCAAATTATTGGTCATTTGAAATATATTTTACATATTGACAATATATAATGCAGTGCAGTGTTGATTTAAAGAAAATAATCTTGAAATACACCAAGAGAACTAAAATTTTATGGTGAATGGTGCCATGGGTGACTTCTCTCCACCCCAATGCCTTCTCTTCTTCCTTCTCCACCCCATTCTAATTCCCATCATCATCATCATCATCATCCAGGAGCCTTCTACATACACACCTCAAAGTAAGTGAACTTTTCTACCATTTTTGTTGAATTTAGGCAATTTTCGGTGAGCTGGAACCAATTACCCAAAAACTCATTGAAACAATGGTTTCGGTTAACGAACAACCTGCTGGAATGGCTTGTGTTCGTTAACCGAGGGACCACTGTAACTGATTCATACTCGGCCATCAATATTCTTTTGATCTTAGTCCTCCAGTGATGTGTAGGTCAGGTACTGAACCCTCAACAAGTGAAGCAAGTACAGTACAGCATGCCTTAAAATTCACCAGGGTTTGGTTCTCAAAATGGCAGTGAATTACCAAATCAGCGAATATCATTTGGTGACCGGGGGTGATACATTTTACTTGTGTGTAAATAAATATATATTCCTTTGTGTGTTTGTCCCAGGATAATTATTTCTTTACTCAGATATATATGGAAGTGTAGATACAGACACACAAATACTGTTTCTCATATAATGAATGGGAAAAAACCTCTCATAAATACGGTGTAATCAGAAACAAGACAACAAAATGTAGAAAAAATGTGAGTTTACCCTCAAGTCAAGTCCGTGCTTTTTGTTATTAAAGCTGAGTTGGTTGGGTTGCCATACGGCAATTTTTTCCTCATAAAAATTACTGTCTCTAGAATGAATGGCATCAAGTGCCAGCTGAGTTGATATGTAGCTCATACTTACAGAATTTCTTTGGTAGCCATCTAGCCAACCCAACATGAAGGATGTCGGTAATTGCGGTGTAATAATGTATACCTTTTTCACAATATGTACGTTCTGTACCTGTATAGCTTCACAAAAATATGAGTTGAAAAAAACCATAACACCTCACACCTTGGTCCAGTAGCCTGGTGGTTACAGTGACGAGCTAACCTAGCCACAACGCCATGATTAATCACTGTGTTGGTTTACAACATTACAGTCTGTCTAATATTTAACACCACAAGTCTGTCTTGGTTTACAACATTACAGTCTGTCTAATATTTAACACCACAAGTCTGTCTTGGTTTACAACATTACAGTCTGTCTAATATTTAACACCACAAGTCTGTCTTGGTTTACAACATTACAGTCTGTCTAATATTTAACACCACAAGTCTGTCTTGGTTTACAACATTACAGTCTGTCTAATATTTAACACCACAAGTCTGTCTTGGTTTACAACATTACAGTCTGTCTAATATTTAACACCACAAGTCTGTGTTGGTTTACAACATTACAGTCTGTCTAATATTTAACACCACAAGTCTGTGTTGGTTTACAACATCAACACAGTCAGTCACCTCATATACAAATAGTTGACCAAACAAAACACTACATAAGGTTACATAAACAATTAATTTGTTTCTAATAATTTACTTAATGACAGCACAAGGATCATCTTACACATATTGAAAGTTATTATAATATTTTAGAATTAAATTAGTTTAACAACTGCAGTATGGAATGAAATAGTGAAGGTAAATTACCCTGATAAATGAACAGTCTTGGCCATGGCCAAATGTGTAAAGGAAAAAATAAAATACAATTCTTGCAGACATTTCCAATACAGTATTACAGTTCTTTGTGGTCTAAAAAAAATACTATTTATTTTATACACAATACCAAATATCTAATACTAACCATTTTATCCCATAGATGCCTGGTACAGTACTGTACTGTATGGTGCCACATACCTGGTACAGTACTGTACTGTATGAACACATAATGGTACAGTACTGTACTGTAAGGTGCCACATACCTGGTACAGTACTGTACTGTACGGTACCACATACCTGGTACAGTACTGTACTGTAAGGTGCCACATACCTGGTACAGTACTGTACTGTAAGGTGCCACACACCTGGTACAGTACTGTACTGTAAGGTGCCACATACCTGGTACAGTACTGTACTGTATGGTACCACGTATCTGGTACAGTACTGTACTGTAAGGTGCCACATACCTGGTACAGTACTGTACTGTAAGGTGCCACTGTGAACTAGTACATGTTTGGTACAGTCACCATGTAAAGTTGAGTGGACTCCCTCTGTAAGAACTTATAAGACAGTGCAGTGTACAGTTAGCCTCTGTTTTAACTGATCTGTCTAAATAAAGATAATAAACTGTACTTGTTGTTGTCCCCAAGTTAACCCTCACTATAAACTCTCATTATGTAACCAAAACTGTGTCCTTATTATAATAAAGATAATAAACTGTACTTGTTGTTGTCCACAAGTTAACCCTCACTATAAAACTCCCTCATTATGTAACCAAAACTGTGATCTTCATTATTATAATAAAATGGAGAGTCAATACTGTTGGGACATATTTTGTCTTTAAAATATAATAAAACAAACATGTGTATGACTCCCAAGATGTGGCCAAGAGGGCCAAGAGTTACAGTGGTTCATATAAGACTACTTGTGGTTCCTTTGATGGCTGTTAAACATGTTTACAATAAAACTTTATAATATGTAAATCAATATTTTAAGTCATCTTCTATACCATTTTATTAATTATTTCACTTACACATTATGTATGGCTTTATAAATTAATTATAAGTTTATATTACAAAAATGACCAAATCTGCCGTAAGGAATAAATTACATTAAAATTTGTTACGGTACATAAATTGTGTTTTACCTTCTTGACCCACAAGAGTAGCTGACTCATTCACTTGTTGGGGCACACCAGTTAATATTAACTTAACATGGAATCTAATGGACAAAATACATGAGACTAACCCAATATGCACGCTCTCTCTCTCTCTCTCTCTTTAACAAGGAAGCTACATTTTTTTAACAAGACCCTCCGATTTATTTTTAGGCGTATAACCTATATTTTGAGGTCTTGTTGGTCAGCCTGTACATTATTTTATTCCCAGGAGCTACAAATTAAATTTGTGAATAATATATAACTTGTTATTTGTCCTTCACATCTTTATCAAAGCCTTTCCACTACAGTATTGTCTTGGTATTTTTAATTAACTAATACCCAGCAGTTAAGTTGACAACATTTACCTATGAATCCAGTAGCTTGGTTTAGCTAAGAGTACAGCAGTTGATGACACTAACAAGTCAGATCACAACCAGAACTGTAGGTAAGTGACTGTGTATATCAGACAGTACAGTTTATCCCAGAACTGTAGGTAATTGTGTATATCAGACAGTACAGTTTATCCCACAACCAGAACTGTAGGTAAGTGACTGTGTATATCAGACAGTACAGTTTATCCCAGAACTGTAGGTAAGTGACTGTGTATATCAGACAGTACAGTTTATCCCAGAACTGTAGGTAAGTGACTGTGTATATCAGACAGTACAGTTTATCCCACAACCAGAACTGTAGGTAAGTGACTGTGTATATCAGACAGTACAGTTTATCCCAGAACTGTAGGTAAGTGACTGTGTATATCAGACAGTACAGTTTATCCCACAACCAGAACTGTAGGTAAGTGACTGTGTATATCAGACAGTACAGTTTATCCCAGAACTGTAGGTAAGTGACTGTGTATATCAGACAGTACAGTTTATCCACAACAGAACTGTAGGTAAGTGACTGTGTATATCAGACAGTACAGTTTATCCCACAACCAGAACTGTAGGTAAGTGACTGTGTATATCGGACAGTACAGTTTATCCCAAGATGGGACGACCACAAACAAATTCTTTCATTCCTATACCATAATATAATACCATCACCATCATTCCAGTATAATTTTTTTTTGCCTTTAAGCCCAAAGATAAACCTTTGATTTTTTATTTTTAGATAAAAGACTATATTGTATATAACTTATTCTACCACAATATTTTGACATTTAAATACGTATTTTTAATTTAAATACGTAGTTAATTTAAATATGTAGAGTTAATTTAAATATGTAGAGTTAATTTCACAGCAAAGTGTTTCTGATTAATTCAATGAGATTCACCGACAAACTCTACAGCAGCCATTTCTTTACCAAAGTATATCATAACATCTGAATGTCTATGAGGAATGAGAGATCAGATGCCTCTCTCTCTCTCTCTCTCTCTCTCTCTCTCAGATTAGGGAAGGGGTAGATCGTAAAGAAACATCTCTCTTGATCAATTCTTCACTTGTTTCTATTAGCTATTATTATTTATAGATCAATTCTCCACTCTGCTTCTATTAGCTATTTTTTTTATTTAATAGAATCAGTGTAATTAAACCCATCAATATCCTAAGAAAAAAAAGTAAAAATAAAAAATAATAATTTGCACCACTTTAAAGAATATTTGCACCACTTGTAAGAGGCATCATAAGTCCTCTTTACATCAAGCTATATAGTAATACGTATAACCTGGGGACTATTAACACTACACCAAATATATTAAATAATTCTAAACTTTTTCACGAGAAAAGTCATGAACAACAACTAGTACCAGACAAATCTCACAACACTATTTCATCAACATTCTACTAAGTCTGTTTTAGTATACAAGATAATCATCCCCCCACCCCCACCCCCAACTGGTGCTACACTACCTCCATTACGCACAGCCATAACAAACCATACGTATTAAGTGTTAGTTCAGCTGAGACATTTTAGTAAACATTGTTCCTTGCTCCAGGACTCACAGCTGTCACCCCTCATTCATGCCTTGTATATTTTCTCTGCTAAAATTATATCAAGGACTTGGTTTACCTACAAAGATCCTTCAATGCAAGTTTCCTTGACAATAACTTCTGACAAGAGGACAATTTTATAGTTTCCTTGATAACAACTTGTGACAGAGAACAATAAATAGTTTCCTTGACAATAACTTTGACATTGAAACAATTTTATAGTTTCCTTGACAATAACTTCTGACAGAGGACAGAACTCAAGAGATGAGATCATTTTAAATTATTACATTACTTCAAGATCTTAAATAATCAAGCCGACAGTAAACTCTGCCTCGATCTCTCACATCTTCAACCTGATGCCAGACAAACACACATCACTGAAAAGGTATAAGAAAACAAAACAAAATCACTAAACAGAGATAAAATAAGACCACTCACCGGGTGTACAAACTATAATGGTGTGTGACAGAAGAGATATTTTACCACTTGGTAAAGAATTTTATCTAATGGTATAACTTGATGAACATAATAGGGTCTCATGTATGGTGGGAACACAAAGGAAAAATTATAATTAATGACTGGAAAATATTCATTGATAGAAATAATAATTAAATTTTTGGGGGGGTTTTTGGTTTTTAATTTTAAGGAAGTTTCATTAAAAGTAAAACCTATTAAAAATATAGTAAAAAAATAACTTATAGAGGAGTTTTTTGAGTGGAAAAGTTGTATTGTATTGTACCATATACTGTACCACATACTGTACCACATACTGCACCACATACTGTAGATCATGATGAGATGTTAAGAAAAATATAGTTAAACACATATCTGTTTGTTTAATTATAAAGCCCAAAAGTCATAAGGTGAGACTGGGTTATAAAGTCTCTCTCACTCTCCTCCCTCTCTCAATCAGTAAGACCATCATACATAGAGCTGCTGATACAACCAAACATTTATCTTAATATATAAATACAAACACAATTAACTACTACAATAGCTAACACAAACGGCATAAAAATAATAATAATAATAAAACGTGATGAAAAAAAAATTCCTCAATTCTTAACCCCTTTTTGGTTTACGTTTTTTGCTTACGTTTTTAGGGACTAATTTAAAAGCTTCACTCTGTTTCTTTTTTACTACTCACGTCATCATCATCGTCATCGTCATCATCATCATCATCAGTCGCATATTTTACTCTTTTCCTCCTGCCTCGGCTTTTATCCTTCTTATTTTCTTCCCTTCTTTCCTCTACTGTCTTCCTCTTCCTCTTCTTCTTCATCATCTTCCTCTTCTGTAATAATAAAATATACTTGAGTAATAACACCACCACTGAGCTACAATAACTCTACCATTTTTCTTCAGGATATAAACTATTGACAGGAACTACTGATTGACTGACCAACTCCCTGACTGACTGACTGACCAACTCCCTGACTGACTGACTGACTGACCAACTCACTGACTGACTGACTGACATACCTTCTTCAGGGATAGTATCAACCTCTGCCTCGTCGCTCCCTGGCGTTGAAGAAGACGCTCTGCATAACGATCGAGTCCTCAAAGATCACAGAAGCCTCCTCGTTGTACTCCTGGGCGTTGCGGCACAGGAGAACAAAGTCGCTCTGCAGGTCGTTGTCTCGTACTGAAAACGGGCAGGTGGTCGTTAGGTTTAGCTCTCAGGCTTGGATTAATGATGGGGGTATTAAGTAACTCCGTCTGTGATTCTAAAATATTGCGATGAGTAGTGGAGAATGTTGTCTGTGTGTATGTCAGTCATGTGTGTATGTCAGTCATGTGTGTATGTCAGTCATGTGTGTATGTCAGTCATGTGTGTATGTCAGTCATGTGTGTATGTCAGTCATGTGTGTATGTCAGTCATGTGTGTATGTCAGTCATGTGTGTATGTCAGTCATGTGTGTATGTCAGTCATGTGTGTATGTCGTAACTACCAACAAACTGTATTAGTTAAGGCTGTGTACGTGATAACCACATAACTACCTACATACTCCCACTTAACCTAACCTAACCCCAGTGAACTTCACTCAATATAACCTAACCTAACCAACCTCTGAATCATCTAATTAAACCTAACCAACCTCTGAATCTTCTAACCAACCTCTGAATCATCTACTTAAACCTAACCAATCTCTGAATCTTCTAACCAACCTCTGAATCATCTACTTAAACCTAACCAATCTCTGAATCTTCTAACCAACCTCTGAATCATCTACTTAAACCTAACCAATCTCTGAATCTTCTAACCAACCTCTGAATCATCTACTTAAACCTAACCTAATCTAATGCAGTTTAAATGTAATCAAACCTAACATAACCAAAGCTAAATCAATCTAACTAAACCTAAAGTAGCCTCACCTGACCTGACCTAATTTACCTTGACATGGCATAATCTACCTGACCTGACCTGACATAATCTACCTGACCTGGCTTAATCTACCCTAACCTAACCTGACCTGACATAATCTACCTTGACCTGGCTTAATCTACCCTACCCTAACCTAACCTGACATAATCTACCCCAACATGACCTAACCTAACCCAACCTAACTTAATCTAACCTGACCTAATCTACCCTAACCTAACCTGACCAGACACTTATTCCAGTATCCGATAAATTCTTGGATACTGTGTTTACATCACTTCAAAAAATCCTAAATAGAACACAGGTAATATAAACTGTGCTCAGCCTACTCTCACATCCAAACACCTCAATAACCAAAACACCATGTTAATTTGTTTATACATCAACACAGGTAATATAAATTGTTCTGAAGCATTTACTCTTACTTCCAAACACCGTGAAACTAGAGGCAATAATGGAGTACGTTTGTTGTTTTAATCTACTGTTTATACATCAAACTTACCCTTCCTTCCTCAATCTTGGATAGGATCTTGCAAATATCCATAGGCCTCTTGATTATCCGTAGTAATCAGCTCTGACGGGCGGTAACTTCATGAGCGGTTCGCTCAGTACCGACCGTCGCTGTGTGGAAGAGTTACATTATATTGCTAGAAAATACAAAAGATAAAATCTTATAGTTCTCCTTAAAAATTTAAATAAATAAGACAATGGGAACAAGATTCTTACGATACCAAGTAAGTATTATGTTTTATTATTGTTAAGAGAATTGTTATAATAGGTGAGAGACAGTATGGGGTTAGGTTAGTTAGGGCAGGTTAGGTTGGATAAGGCAGGTTGGTTAGTTAGGGCAGGTTAGGTTAGAAGATTGAGTTTGTTAGGGCAGTTGGATGATTGAGCTGAGTTAGGTTAGTTAGGGCAGGTTAGGTTAGTTAAGGGCAGGTTGGTTTAGTTGGGGCAGGTTAGGTTAGTTGGGGACAGGTTAGGTTAGTTAGGGCAGGTTAGGTTAGTTAGGGCGGGTTAGGTTAGTTAGGTGCAGGTGGGTTAGTTAGGACGGAGTTAGGTTTGTTGGGAGGTTAGGTTGGTTAGAACGGGTTAGGTTGGTTAGGGCAGGTTAGGTTGGTTAGGGCTGGTTAGGTTAGTTAGGGCAGGTTAGGTTAGTTAGGGCAGGTTAGGTTAGTTAGGGCAGGTTAGGTTAGTTAGGGCAGGTTAGGTTTGTTAGGGCAGGTTAGGTTAGTTAGGGCAGGTTAGGTTAGTTAGGGCAGGTTAGGTTAGTTAGTTTTTAGGGGAGGAGGAAAATGAAACCTCTCCCCAAAAATGAGAAAGATTTTTATTATATACAGTAGTAAAAATTTTATCTCCACGATGTGTGTAAATATTGTGTGAAAAATGTGCGTAAATAATGTGTGTAAATAATGTCTAAATAATGTGCGTAAATAATGTATAAATAACGTGTGTAAATAATGTCTAAATAATGTAAATAATTTTTGTAAATAACGTGTGTAAATAATGTGAGATAACCCAATATACAGTCAAAGTTCGCTAACTGTATGCATAAAAGATAACTTGACTGACTGACTGACTGACTGACTGACTGACTAACTAACTGACTGACTCACTGACTGACTCACTGACCTGTCTTCATACTTGATCACAATATCCATGAGGCGCTTCAGCTGACGAATCATGCGTTTATTTTTGGGCGCGGGTTTTTCCCTGGCTGGACGACCCCGTTTCTTGGGCTTGGGGTCGTCGTCGTTATCCAGGTCGTCCTGTCGTTTACGCTTGCCTTTTGAGGTCCTCTTGTTCTTACTGCTAGTCACCTCTTCCTCCTCTTCTTCCATGGCCTGAAGTAAGTTTATTAAGGTCACCAGTGTGTGGTAGTTACAAAGACCACAGGTACAACACATCATAAAGACCACAGGTAAAACACATCATAAAGAACACAGGTACAACACACCATAAAGACCACAGGTAAAACACATCATAAAGACCACAGGTACAACACATCATAAAGACCACAGGTAAAACACACCATAAAGACCACAGGTACAACACACCATAAAGACCACAGGTAAAACACACCATAAAGACCACAGGTAAAACACATCATAAAGAACACAGGTACAACACACCATAAAGACCACAGGTAAAACACACCATAAAGACCACAGGTAAAACACATCATAAAGAACACAGGTACAACACACCATAAAGACCACAGGTAAAACACATCATAAAGACCACAGGTACAACACACCATAAAGACCACAGGTACAACACACCATAAAGACCACAGGTAAGAAAAACACATCATAAAGACCACAGGTGCAACACATCATAAAAGACCACAAATTAAAAACACACCATAAAGACCACAGGTTACAACACACCATAAAGACCACAGATTACCATACCATAAAGACCACAGGTACAATACACCATAAAGACCACAGGTACAACACATCATAAAGACCACAGGTACAACACATCATAAAGACCACAGGTACAATACACCATAAAGACCACAGGTAAAACACATCATAAAGACCACAGGTACAACACACCATAAAGACCACAGGTAAAACACATCATAAAGACCACAGGTACAATACACCATAAAGACCACAGGTACAATACACCATAAAGACCACAGGTACAACACATCATAAAGACCACAGGTAAAACACATCATAAAGACCACAGGTAAAACACACCATAAAGACCACAGGTAAAACACACCATAAAGACCACAGGTACAACACATCATAAAGACCACAGGTACAACACACCATAAAGACCACAGGTACAACACACCATAAAGACCACAGGTAAAACACACCATAAAGACCGCAGGTACAACACACCATAAAGACCACAGGTACAATACACCATAAAGACCACAGGTACAATACACCATAAAGACCACAGGTACAACACATCATAAAGACCACAGGTAAAACACATCATAAAGACCACAGGTAAAACACACCATAAAGACCACAGGTAAAACACACCATAAAGACCACAGGTACAACACATCATAAAGACCGGTACAACACGCCATAAGACACAATTTTCAACACACCATAAAGACCAGGTACAACACACCATAAAAATACAGGTACAATACACCATAAAAGACCACAGGTACCAATACCACCATAAAGACCACCAGGTAAAACACACCATAAAGACCACAGGTACAACACACCATAAAGACCACAAGGTGCAATACACCATAAAGACCACAGGTACAATACACCATAAAGACCTGGGTACAACACATCATAAAAAAGACCACAGGTACAACACACCATAAAGACCACAGGTACAACACACCATAAAGACCACAGGTACAACACATCATAAAGACCACAGGTAAAACACATCATAAAGACCACAGGTACAATACACCATAAAGACCACAGGTACAACACACCATAAAGACCACAGGTAAAAAACATCATAAAGACCACAGGTAAAACACATCATAAAGACCACAGGTAAAACACATCATAAAGACCACAGGTAAAACACACCATAAAGACCACAGGTACAATACACCATAAAGACCACAGGTAAAACACATCATAAAGACCACAGGTAAAACACATCATAAAGACCACAGGTACAACACATCATAAAGACCACAGGTACAACACATCATAAAGACCACAGGTACAACACATCATAAAGACCACAGGTAAAACACATCATAAAGACCACAGGTAAAACACATCATAAAGACCACAGGTAAAACACATCATAAAGACCACAGGTAAAACACATCATAAAGAACACAGGTACAACACACCATAAAGACCACAGGTAAAACACATCATAAAGACCACAGGTACAACACATCATAAAGACCACAGGTACAATACACCATAAAGACCACAGGTAAAACACATCATAAAGACCACAGGTAAAACACATCATAAAGACCACAGGTAAAACACATCATAAAGACCACAGGTAAAACACATCATAAGACCACAGGTAAAACACATCATAAAGACCACAATAATAGCCGGTACTGTTCAATAATACCCGGTACTGTTCAATAATACCCGGTACTGTTCAATAATACCCGGTACTGTTCAATAATAGCCGGTACTGTTCAATAATAGCCGGTACTGTTCAATAATAGCCGGTACTGTTCAATAATACCCGGTACTGTTCAATAATACCCGGTACTGTTCAATAATACCCGGTACTGTTCAATAATACCCGGTACTGTTCAATAATAGCCGGTACTGTTTAATAATACCCGGTACTGTTCAATAATAGCCGGTACTGTTCAATAATACCCGGTACTGTTCAATAATACCCGGTACTGTTCAATAATACCCGGTACTGTTCAATAATATACTAAACAACACTGAACTATTGAACCTGCTGAAAATCAAAGTTCTATATTAGCTACCCTGTGCATACATAAACTTACCTGTGCATACATAAACTTCCCTGTGCATACATAAACTTACCTGTGCATACATAAACTTACCTGTGCATACATGAACTTACCTGTGCATACATAAACTTCCCTGTGCATACATAAACTTACCTGTGCATACGTAAACTTATCTGTGCATACATAAACTTACCTGTGCATACATGTCTCTACACACTAATTTAACTACTATAGATGAAAATAATTTACACACACACACACAATTACTCATTTTTTTTATTTACTGAAGTTTTAATTGACACAAGTATAAATCAAAGACATACATTAACAGACAGACAAAGATTGATTGATTTACACACACCATCTCTTACCTCTTTGCCATCCTCTTCAACAGCCTGCATGTAATAAAAAATATTTATAATTGTAGCCACTAACAGTCAGGAGTAGTAGTTAATGTAGCAGTAGTAGTTAATGTAGCAGTAGTTAATGTAGCAGTAGTGGTAAATGTGGCAGTAGTTAATGTGGCAGTAGTTAATGTAGCGGTAGTTAATGTACCAGTAGTAGTTAATGTAGCAGTAGTTAATGTAGTAGTAGTAGTTAATGTAGCAGTAGTTAATGTAGCAGTAGTAGTTAATGTAGCAGTAGTTAATGTAGTAGTAGTTAATGTAGCAGTAGTTAATGTAGCAGTAGTTAATGTAGTAGTAGTTAATGTAGCAGTAGTTAATGTAGCAGTAGTTAATGTAGCAGTAGTTAATGTAGTAGTAGTAGTTAATGTAGCAGTAGTTAATGTAGCAGTAGTTAATGTAGCAGTAGTTAATGTAGTAGTAGTAGTTAATGTAGCAGTAGTAGTTAATGTAGCAGTAGTTAATGTAGCAGTAGTGGTAAATGTGGCAGTAGTTAATGTGGCAGTAGTTAATGTAGCAGTAGTTAATGTACCAGTAGTAGTTAATGTAGCAGTAGTTAATGTAGTAGTAGTAGTTAATGTAGTAGTAGTTAATGTAGCAGTAGTTAATGTAGTAGTAGTTAATGTAGCAGTAGTAGTTAATGTAGCAGTAGTTAATGTAGTAGTAGTTAATGTAGCAGTAGTAGTTAATGTAGCAGTAGTAGTTAATTTAGCAGTAGTTAATGTAGCAGTAGTTAATGTAATAGTAGTAGTTAATGTAGTAGTAGTAGTTAATGTAGCAGTAGTTAATGTAGTAGTAGTAGTTAATGTAGCAGTAGTTAATGTAGCAGTAATAAATGTAGTAGTAGTAGTTAATGTAGCAGTAGTTAATGTAGTAATAGTAGTTAATGTAGCAGTAGTTAATGTAGCAGTAGTTAATGTAGCAGTAGTAGTTAATGTAGCAGTAGTTAATGTAGCAGTAGTTAATGTAGCAGTAGTAGTTAATGTAGCAGTAGTTAATGTAGCAGTAGTAGTTAATGTAGTAGTAGTTAATGTAGTAGTAGTTAATGTAGCAGTAGTTAATGTAGCAGTAGTAGTTAATGTAGCAGTAGTTAATGTAGCAGTAGTTAATGTAGTAGTAGTTAATGTAGCAGTAGTTAATGTAGCAGTAGTAGTTAATGTAGCAGTAGTAGTTAATGTAGCAGTAGTTAATGTAGTAGTAGTTAATGTAGTAGTAGTTAATGTAGCAGTAGTAGTTAATGTAGCAGTAGTAGTTAATGTAGCAGTAGTAGTTAATGTAGCAGTAGTTAATGTAGTAGTAGTTAATGTAGTAGTAGTTAATGTAGCAGTAGTAGTTAATGTAGCAGTAGTTAATGTAGCAGTAGTTAATGTACTGTAGCAGTAGTTAATGTTAATGTAGCAGTAGTAGTTAATGTAGCAGTAGTAGTTAATGTAGCAGTAGTTAATGTAGCAGTAGTTAATGTAGCAGTAGTAGTTAATGTAGCAGTAGTAGTTAATGTAGCAGTAGTTAATGTAGCAGTAGTAGTTAATGTAGCAGTAGGAGTTAATGTAGCAGTAGTAGTTAATGTAGCAGTAGTTACTGTAGCAGTAGTAGTTAATGTAGCAGTAGTAGTTAATGTAGCAGTAGTTACTGTAGCAGTAGTAGTTAATGTAGCAGTAGTAGTTAATGTAGCAGTAGTAGTTAATGTAGCAGTAGTAGTTAATGTAGCAGTAGTTAATGTAGCAGTAGTTAATGTAGCAGTAGTAGTTAATGTAGCAGTAGTAGTTAATGTAGCAGTAGTTACTGTAGCAGTAGTAGTTAATGTAGCAGTAGCATTAATATAAGTTGATCTCTATGATAAATGGTAAAATACAAACTTGGTTACAATGTCTGCTGCCATTTTTTACAGATCCATTTTATATTTTCTAACAACATTAAAAGTTGTTTACTCTCAAGTTAACGACAGTACCACTTGGCTCCCAATTATTATTCCCACCAAACGCGATGCTGTTGTTGTTGCGAGGCAGATAATTATAAGTCTTTAGTAATATTTCACACCAGAATACATCACCACCATTCTCCTTTCATACGTTTTTTTTATACTGGAGTAAAAATCTACCGATAAAAATATTATTAATACACTCAAACGTCTTTAAAGTTGTCCTATCGGCGTCAATATGGAGGAAAAATATACAAAAATAAATAAACGTAATAAAGCTATATAAAAAATGACGCCAATTGTCCCTAAGACATCTTTACGAGAACGTGGTAACTACCGTACGTACCCCAATAGCACGGAGCCATTCTTTCTCCGTCAGGCTGTCGGTGTAGTCGACTTCCTTCTTGGACCGGGCGCGACGGTCTCCCAGTTCCTCCGGTTCCTCCTCTTCTATCTCCTCCTGTGGAGAGGATCAGTTAATGTGTTCAGGTTTACATACAGTAAGTACCTTAACTGTATTAACTCATGTAGTACAGTAAGAGATACTGTACTGTACTGTATTAACTCATATAACAGTACAGTAATAATAAGAGATACTATACGACAGAGGTCCCTCGGTTAACGAACTCATTCGTTCCAGAGGGTCGTTTGTTAACCCAAACCATTGTTTCAATGGGATATTGGGTAATTGATTCCAGCTCACTGAAAATTACATACAAAGTAAAAACGAAATGCAGTAAAGTACACTTACTTTGAGGTGTGTATATAGGAGGCTCCTGGTTGATGATGATGATGGGGGTGGAGGAGAAGAGAAGGAAGTGGGGGTGGAGGAGAAGAGAAGGAAGTGGGGGTGGAGGAGAAATCACCTTTCAGGGGACCCGTGCTTGATGTCGTCATTTCACCAATAAAATTTTAAGTTCACTCGGTGTAATTCAACATTATTTTCTTTAAATCAACACTGCACTGCAATATATATTGTCAATATGTTAAATAAATTTCAGAATGACCAATAATTGTACTATAAAATGTAAAAATAGTTTATGTTCAAGAGAGCCACAAGCAACATGTTTCCTTCACTGAAGAGACAAACTGAAGCCTTGGTGGGTGAGTGAAGTGGCTGATGGGCGCACCAAAAACTAGTTCCCTGTACTGCAATTATGTTAAATAAGTGTTAAAACGACTAATAATTTTAGTATAAAATTTAGAAAAATATTGAATAAAACAACCTTCTTGATATTTACTCCAATGGAAACGAATATAAGCCCTAGAACCGATAACTGTATTGGCCAAAACATGTTGACATGTTTTCGTAAGAATTTCATTAACCGAAATTTTGTTTGTTAATTGAATTGAAGATTCTTAGGGAAGGCAATTCGTTAACCGAAATTTCATTAACCGAGGGACCACTGTATAGTGTGTTAGTGTTTCTTAATATTAATAGTCAGTCTTGTTGGTCCTATCTGTTAAGTTAAAGTAACCTTTATTAACTCTGTTAGCCTCGTACAATGCCGTCGAACATAAATGACAAAACGACCAAATTTTCAAATAACTCAAAAAACTATTCGGTAAAACTATGTGAACTTTGGACGCCATTTGACAGACGTCGTTTTCTTGGCGTGGCCCTTATCACCCTCTCTATATGGTCTGGGTGTGTGGCAGGGCAGGCCATTAAAGAGAGAGGAAGGTGTGCCCTGATATTCTACATGATGTGTTCTTTATCTTAGTACGGTATATAGAACATGAACACCATAATACAAGGGAAATGTGAATGGAAATCGAAATGTTATTAGACATTTTCTTTCTTTTTCAACTTATACTAAAAAAATGGCTTAAATTTCAAGATTTTTAATTTTGTTATGGTTTCAGACAATTTTAAGCTAGAAAAGATCCCCATTATAATTAATAAAACAATTCTATGGCAGTGAAATGAGGCCTAATTTTTTTTCAACGGTTTTTCGACAAAAACCTCCGAGTTTTCATGCACGTATGTGTCTCAGGCTCTGAGGCGGAGAGGATTAAGTAACATCCTATATTTTTCATGGTTAGGTCATGTCAGGTCAGGTCAGGTTAGGTTGGGTAAAATTTCAACTATAGAAAATTAACTAAAATATTTACACAATTTTACATTACAAAATTTCAAGAAGTTTTCAAGTGTACATTTCCCAAACCTATTGTTTCTCTGTACAAAATAAAAGTAATATCATTGGTCACTACACTGGGGTTTCATTACTACAGTCTCTCACTATACAGGGGTTTCATTACTACAGTTTTTCCAGGATCTGTACCTCTAGGGCTGACATTTTCTACCACAAGTCAATAACTTCCAGTAAGTCTCTGGTAACTTGTCCATAACTTGAGTGATAAATCTTACGCTTAGTGTATGAAGTTCTCTAATGGTCCAATCAGAGCCGGGTTATAAAGGGGGTACAGTAGGCACAGTGTCCAGGGCCTAAGAAGGTCTAAGTGGCCTACAAAATTTGAGATATAATGTATGTGTTTTAACTGTGGTCTGGCCTATTAATATTCCAACAGGGTAAATGAAAATAATCGATAAATTTTATAAGATAGAAATAGATTGCAGTCATAAGATTAAGTGATTATAAACGTTAATTTAGTATCTGGTTCGAGATCCTCTAAACCTGACTAACTAACTGGACCACTGACCAGCTAGTCACGTCTTAGCTATCCATAGCCTGATGTAACCCATGTATATTCCTTTAAGATATTATAATTCTAAATACCATAACAAGTTGAAGCATTTATCATAATACCTTAGAATTTTCCTAAAATATTCTTTATGAAACAAATAAGTAATGAATATGTACTTTAGCTGAAAAATGATAAAAATATGAAAACCAATAATTACCCTAAGTCTAATAACAAATATATTTATTAGATTTAAGATGCAAAAACCTTCCTATAACAGACTAACCTAAAATTATGGAATAACTTAACTCTCAGCGTCACCGCCTGACAACTAACCCAATAGTTGGCGTTACCCATAGGTGGCAGCACGTACGATGTTGGCGTGATGTTTGAAGGTCGTGAGGGTAAAATTAGGTACACAATGGTGGATGGGGAAATTTAGCGGCCTATGATAATAAAATGCCCAGGGTTTACATAGCTCTTAATCCGGCTCTGGGTCCACTACTTGATGACAGTCAACAGCAGTCAACATCAACACCATTCAACACTTCATTTCTTAAGGATCGTTCACCTAAAATGTCATAATCTACCTGTAATAAACACTTACATAATCTACCTCTAATAAACACTTACATAATCTACCTCTAATAAACACTTACATAATCTACCTCTTATAAACACTTACATAATCTACCTCTAATAAACACTTACATAACCTACCTCTAATAAACACTTACATAATCTACCTCTAATAAACACTTACATAATCTACCTCTTATAAACACTTACATAATCTACCTCTAATAAACACTTACATAATCTACCTCTAATAAACACTTACATAATCTACCTCTTATAAACACTTCCATAATCTACCTCTAATAAACACTTACATAATCTACCTCTTATAAACACTTACATAATCTACCTCTAATAAACACTTACATAATCTACCTCTAATAAACACTTACATAATCTACCTCTTATAAACACTTACATAATCTACCTCTAATAAACACTTACATAATCTACCTCTAATAAACACTTACATAATCTACCTCTAATAAACACTTACATAATCTACCTCTTATAAACACTTACATAATCTACCTCTAATAAACACTTACAGAATCCTCCTCCTTCAACATCCACTCCGGTAACTCGTCCTCGGCCATAAGACGGGCCCTGGTCGACTCCTTCCGTCTCTCATCGTCGTGCTTCTGGAACATCTCAAACTCGTCCTCCCCTCGGGCGATCATCTGGTTAATAGTCTCGTCGTCTGGAGCTTCATCCTCTTCCTGAAAATGGGGCCACTTGTTTTAACGTATACAGTGCCGTACTGTATAGTCACGATAACAAACAGTACAGTACAACTATATTAACCAATGGTGATCAGTTTACCCGGTCGTTCATGTGGTGGTGGTGGTAGTTATAACTCTACTCTATCATCTAAACTACATTACTTGATTATTATTAACTGAATTTCACCCTTATAGTGATATCTAACAACCATGCAAGGACCAACGGTAGATGTAGTGCTGTAACGAGGTGATAGGCTCGTTATACCGAGGGAGAAGCTTAAGATATTGTCATAATTAGATGAAGTTTCTTAGTAAGTGACGGCAACAATGATTATGGACATGCAAGTAATAATGAATATATTTACCTGATGACTTATTTTATTTACCCGAAGACTTATTGTATTTACAACTAATTATTACTACAATAAATACACAAATAATAGGTAACCAACCACCAATTACTGTATATAATGTGTTAAACCTAAACAATCAATGATCCTTACCTCATATAGTTAACCCAATTACTGTATATAATGTATTAAACCTAACAATCATTGATCCTTACCTCATATAGTTAACCCAATTACTGTATATAATGTGTTAAACCCAAACAATCATTGATCCTTACCTCATCCTCTTCATTGTCATTTGACAGGATGGCTTGGAGGAACTGTCGACGGTCAGATCCGGTCGACTTCTGATCAAACATACCGGCCTGGATGACCTTCTCGTCCATGTTGAGTTTGTACCGGGCCGCGGCCAAGATGCGTTCCTCCACAGTGTTTACGGTCATTAGTCTCAACACTCTTACCTGTTGAGAACACACAGGTATTATTGATGATCGTTAATGATTGATGTTAACAGTGAACTAATTTGTCTAGTGTAGTGCATTGTAAATCCCTAACCTAACCTAACCTCAGCTACCTTAACCCACCCCACTCAAACCTAATTTAACCTCACCAACCCAACCTAACCTAACCAACCCTAAGCTAACCTCACCAACCCTACCCTAACCTAACCTAACCTAACCAACCCCACCATAACCTCACCTACCCTACCCTCACCAACCATACCCTAACCTCACCTACCCTAAGCTAATCTCACCTACCCTACCCACCCCACCACACCTACCCTATACAACGTTCAACTCGCCTCATTTTTCTGGCCAATACGGTGAGCACGATCTTGGGCCTGTAGATCCTGGTGTGGGTTCCAATCTGAGTCGAAGATAATCACAGTATCGGCAGACTGTAGGTTGAGTCCCAGCCCTCCAGCACGTGTGGACAGCAGGAACAAGAAGTACTCCCTGGAGGTGTTGAACAGTCGCAGTAGTTCGCCACGATCCTCAGATTTCGTCATGCCTGAAAACGTCAACATGAGTCACTATATACGTCCGGATGTGTCAATATATACGTCAATATATGTGTCAATAGGCGTCAATATAAGTCAATTTAGGTCAAGATGAGTCAATATATATGTCAATATAGGTCCAGATGAGTCAAGATAGGTCCAGATGTGTCAATACATACGTCAGGATGAGTCAATATACACGTCAAGATGCGTCAATATATAGGTTCAGATGCGTCAATATAGGTTCAGATGAGTCAATATAGGTCCAGATGCGTCAATATAGGTCCAGACAACATTAAAACAATAATAAAACATTTAAAACAACATTATACAAACCATCAAGTCTCAAGTATTTGAAGCCTTTATACATGAGATAATCTTCCATAATGGTCATAAGTTGTGTCATCTGGCAGAAGAGTAACACACGGTGATCTGTGGCCTTTAGTTTGGGTAATATTCTGTCCAGTAGTTCAAACTTGCCTGAGGCTCGATAAAGATCAGGGCTGAGGGAGAAAGATAGACGTTTAATCTTGATACTGTACTGTACCGGAGAGTACATCAATAGTCATAAGTACAGTATTTAGATTAGTTTGGGTAATATTCTGTCCTGTAGTTCAAACTTGCCTGAAGCTCGATAAAGATGTTCACTCCATTGTAAACAAAGTTAAACTGAAAAGCATTGGTGGGTGATTCAATCAGCTGATGGGCGCACAAAAACTGTTCCCTGTACGGTATATATTATCACTATGTTAACTCAATTTCAGAATGACCAATAATTTTAATATAAAAAAATGAAAAATATTCAAGAGCACAACTTTCTTGATATTTACTTCACTGGAAACAGATGTAAACATAGAACCGATTATTGTATTGGCGGACTAGCCGATCAGCTGATGCACACATCCAAGGCGTGTTTCTCGTAAGGCTGTCGTTAATAAAAGTTGTACTCGTTAATAGAAATGAAAAATCCTCATGGGAGCTAATTCGTTAACTGAAATATCGTAAATTGAACAGCTTGTTAATTGAGGGGCCACTATACTTGTAAGGCAGGATATATACTTGTAAGGCAGGATATATGCTTTTAAGGCAGGATATAAACTTGTATGGCAGGATATAAACTTGTAAGGCAGGATATAAACTTGTAAGGCAGGATATAAACTTGTAAGGCAGGATATAAACTTGTATGGCAGGATATAAACTTGTAAGGCAGGATATAAACTTGTATGGCAGGATATAAACTTGTATGGCAGGATATAAATTGTAAGGCAGGATATAAACTTGTATGGCAGGATATAAATTGTAAGGCAGGATATAAACGTGTAAGGCAGGATATAAACTTACCCCTGTACAATACCTCCAGAAAAGCCCGTGTGGTTACAATAAGCTTCTTCTATGTGTTGGAACATGAATGGATGGTTACACAGTTTTCTTAGCTGCATAATAGTGTTCATAAGAGCCTTGGTGTTACTCTTCTGGCCTTTCTTGTCTTCAGCACACAGCATGACGCCTCTTGTCTGCATGGATCGGTACAGGACGTGTTGCAGGCCAGACATCTCGCATTTAATTATATACTCGACCTGTAAATGTATATATATGAATGATATGAGGATTATACTAGACCTGTAAATGTATATATATGAATGATATGAGGATTATACTAGACCTGTAAATGTATGTATATGAATGATATGAGGATTATACTAGACCTGTAAATGTATGTATATGAATGATATGAGGATTATACTCGACCTGTAAATGTATATATATGAATGATATGAGGATTATACTCGACCTGTAAATGTATATATATATGAATGACATGAGGATTATACTAGACCTGTAAATGTATATATATGAATGATATGAGGATTATACTAAACCTGTAAATGTATATATATGAATGATATGAGGATTATACTAGACCTGTAAATGTATATACTGTATATGAATGATATGAGGATTATACTAGACCTGTAAATGTATATATATATATGAATGACATGAGGATTATACTAGACCTGTAAATGTATATATATGAATGATATGAGGATTATACTAGACCTGTAAATGTATATATATATGAATGATATGAGGATTATACTAGACCTGTAAATGTATATATATGAATGACATGAGGATGTAAGCTAAGATGCTGTGGTGTTGTGCTGGTGTGGTTAGGTCAGGTCAAAAACACTGATAAATTCATTACCTTGTCTGGCAACTGAGCTTCCACCTCTCTCTTGAGCCGACGTAGTAAAAATGGCCGTAGAACTTTGTGTAAACGTCGGATGATCAATATTGTTTCTTCTTCATTTAACTCAACCTAAGGAGATAAAACATCATTAAGTATATATAAAACATCATTAAATATATATAAAACATTATTAAGTATATATAAAACATCATTAAGTATATATAAAACATCAAAAAGTATATATAAAACATCAAAAAGTATATATAAAACATCATTAAGTATATATAAAACATCAAAAAGTATATATAAAACATCATTAAGTATATATAAAACATCATTAAGTATATATATGCAATTTGTTGGCCACATAGCTGTAGTTAGTTAAATGTAAAGTTCCTCTGCATTTCTCACTGTTGTTCAATACAGTAATATTTCTTGTTGTAAAATAGTTAATTTTCACTTTTAAATAAAACAAATAAAACAATTGACACTTACAGAGCAAAATGCTGATTATAAAATGCTCTCAAGAAGGTAATACATCATCTGAGTATTGAGACAGACAGACAGACAGATAGATTAGTCAGTTACTTGGTTGGTAAAGCCTTAGACCAAAGTAAACTGTGGTCATATATAAAACCAGCTTGCAAACTTTCTTATACCTATCCCTTGTAAAATACTGTACAGGTATACCCAAAATATATACCTAAAATATAATACTTAAAATATTATACCTAAAATATTATACCTAAAATATAATACTTAAAATATTATACTTAAAATATTATACAGTACTTAGAATAGTATACGTAAAATATAATACTTAAAATATTATACTTAAAATAGTATACTTAAAATGTTATACTTAAAATACTATAACTAAAATAATATACTCAAAATATTATACCTAAAATATATTAAAATATTATACTTAAAATATTATACAGCATAGTCTGGATTTACGCGGTGCCTTGCCAGAATGAAATGTTTTAATTACGCGGGAAGCGGCACAGGCAGGGTGCGCACAAGGTCGCCCAGTCATCAAAACATTACCGAGTTCTTCACCCGCCACCCACCACAGCCGGCCCAAGTCAGTGATAGTGAGGATATGGACTTTGAGGGGTTTGACAAAGAGGCCCTGCAAGCCTCTGTGGTGGATAGTGATACAATTGATACAAGTGATACAGGTGAGGGCCAATAATCTGCCCTCTGCCTCGGACCAACCCCCCATCCCCGTGTGCCCAGCCATCTTTTCTACTAATGTAAGTGTTAAAAAACCTAATATTATTGATATTTCTCTTAATTATTAATTGTGTGTGCATACCATCATAAAATTAAGATGTTATTTTGACTACAAGGTACGTATTGTGTCGGAAAAAGTGGCGTTTGGGGGTCGGCCCAGTCTCTATTTCAATTAATCCCATATGTTCTGTTATTTCATTAAGGCGTTTCTCGTTTTACGCGGACCTCCACGGGTTCAATTGACCGCGTAAATCCATACTATACTGTACCTAAAATATAATACTTAAAATATTATACTTAAAATATTATAATACCTAAAGATGAATGCCCCATAAATAAAGGTTGCACTAGGTTGGGTTAGGTTAGGTTTTTTGAGCGATCACTTCATAAATCATTAGCGCCAATAGTTGTTAAAGGACACTGTAGTTACACTTAATGGTCGTTAATATCAAACAACTGTACTGGACTGTATAGCCAACAGATAATAGACCTAATTGAGTTAATATTGAAGGTCTTACTATAGTTTGAGCTGGTAACAATGTTCTGATTTGTTTTAATGATCTGTGGATAGTTCAGAGAGTAGTTTGAGGCACCTTAATGGTTCTGTGGGTAGTTGAGAGTAGTTTGGGGTATCTTAATGGTTCTGTGGGTAGTTAAAGTAGTTTGAGGTAAGTTAATGGGTAGTTTAGACAGTCGTTGAGGTAACTTAATACAGTACCATGTAATATCACATTACAGAAGACATGGCATAGATTTATATTCTACACTGGGCCAACTAAACGACCAGGTGGGAACTGCTGTAGAACTTTTAATTATAGATAGAATAAACTATACATTTTACCTTTTCACCAGTGGTAGCAAAGGGAGCATTGAACCATTGCTCAAATGTGGAGCATGATTTAAAGATGGATGGCAGGAGAAAGTTGAGAAGTGCCCACAGCTCTGGGAGTTTGTTCTGTAGAGGAGTTCCTGTCAGCAGCAGGCGGTGAGGAGCGTTGTAGAAGGTGTTGAGAGTCTGATGAAAGATTAACATTATTTATGTTCTTATATAACTTATGTTTATAGGAAGGATAACCTAACCTAACAACACTCAGTTTACATAACAAACAATCAGTCAATACCTGAGTCAGCTTGCAGTGGTGGTTCTTCATGCGGTGGCCTTCATCAATAATCATGTACTTCCACCGCAGCTTGGACAACACAGCTTTATCCTTAATGATGTACTCGTAGGTGGTCAGCAGCACGTTAAGCTTAGTGGCTCTCATCTGGCTCTGAACGATCCTACGAACCTGAGGTGACCCTTTGTATACCACGATCTGTTGGTGTATTGGACTAGGTTAGGTTAGGTCAGGTCAGGTCAGGTGTTCTGTTGGGGGAAATATTTTCTTTATTAATATAACTCTCCAAGCGACCATTTCTCAAACTCCAGAGCCCAGTCACCACACAGTCACGATACACCTGGTTCTCAACTTACCTGTACAGTAGGGGCCCACTTCTCAAACTCGAGGGCCCAGGGCCCAGTTAGAGACAGTCACCACACAATCACCATCTTACCTGTACAGTAGGGGCCCACTTCTCAAACTCGAGGGCCCAGTTAGATATAGTGGACAGAGGAACAATGATCAGGTAAGGGCCATTGTTCTTCTTGGTCTCAATCAGGTACGTCAGGAGGGCTATGGTCTGGATAGTCTTGCCAAGACCCATCTCATCGGCCAGGATGCCGTTAAGGTTGTTGTTGTACAGCGACACGAGCCATTCCAGACCCTGAAGAACATGTGGGGTATATTAAGACTATCCTGAAGAACACGCGGAGTATTTTAGACTAGCCTGGTAGTAGTTCTTCTCCCCAGAGGATCATTAACAGCCTCATTCCTTACCTTAACTTGGTACTCCTTCAGTAGACCATTAACCATCATCTTGGCTTGTTCAGTTACAGTTTCCTTAATGGTGTGAGCAATAGAGTAGTAGTTCTTCTCCCCAGAGGCATCTTTATATTCATCATCCTCGACCTTCTTCAAGACCTCTCGAGGATTGCCGTCAGCATCCAACTCAGGTTCTGCTTTCTTGTCGGCCTCTTTACCCTCTGTGGTGAGAAGTGACATCATTAGTGACATCATCTTCTTCTGACATCATCATTATCATCATCTACTATTTTGACATTATTATTATTATTATCTACTACTATTTTGACATCATCATCATTATTATCTACTATTTTGACATTAATATTATTATGATTATTATTGACATCTTCTAGTACTGTGACATCATTATTATCTACAATTTTGACATCATTATTATTACTATTGACATCATCATCACTCTTTCTCACTAATTATGTCCCGATAAAGTAAACAGACACAGCCAATACTCACTCTCCTTCTCGCTCTCTTTCTCTCGTTTATGGTCGTCTTCATCAGATGAGGACGCATCTTCTTCAGGCAGTATCTCCCAGCCTGGGTTAGCTATCAGGAACGCCTCCAGGTTTTCTTCTAGGGGGGCCTGTAGACCGCTCACGATGGCCCCAGTGGCTGACTCCATAACTGGGATGTGTTTTTTTTGGTTCTCTCCCTCACCGTCGTGCTCCGAGATGGCCTCCCGTGCTCGCCGACGCTCCTCCCTCTGTTTATGTGAGACAGTCGTACGGTCAACCGGTTAGTGTCATTAAAGATCACAGTCTAATAATCCTACAACCCTTCAGTTGTTATTAAAGATCACACTATAATAATAACTATATACCTAAAAAAATTCTGACTGGTTTATTGAGAACTTGGTATATTGATATAACAAAAATATACTCTGGGGTAATATACTGCAGCATATCTAATTCAAAGCTTACCATCGTTCACTGGGTTGTACCGTGTTTAAAGTTGACAAAATCCGGTACTAAACTCGAGCTTAATTTTCTCCATTACTGTACAAAGTTTGCCCTCATCAATGAATATATTATCAATATTCCCGTCAGTAGGAACAATTGGTCCACAACACTGCCGGGAATGACAGACTTCAGGGTAACGAGACGACTCTCTCAATGCCGGAAAAAACTCCCCCATCCCCGGAATTTTCTAGAATTCTCCGGGAAATATTGAAGTGATAACAGTGGTAACATGTTCTTATTATCACCACCATGCTATTGTACTATTCCAGATGTTACTAAATGTTACATAATACTTCCTTGAGATAAATGTATAGTATAGTATATATCAGGTGCAGCTCAGGTCCTCAACTGGCTCAGCCATGTTATTACTATCCACTCTGTATCTGTGTTTTATGGCTAAATAAACTGTTTCAATTCAATTTAATTCAATTCTGGAAAATTTTCTAGGAATATTCCGGAAAATCGCTCCGGCTTTGGGAACGATTTTCCAAGAAAATTTTAATTCCCGCTATCGGAGAGTTCCAGGTCTGAGGGATTCTGGGTAACGGAGATATTGCTGTAATGTAAGACTCTAAATATAACTACTGTAGGAATCTACGACCTCACAATAACCTGGAGAGGAACGACCATCACTAACTATTGTGTATTATAGTTATAAATTACCGACAAACACAGACATAACAACATAAATCTGTGAGGCATTAAGATAAACCATAAGAGTTTAGTATAAAGCTTGAAATATACTTTGTTAAACTATAAGAGCTTAGTATAAAGCTTGAAATATACTTTGTTAAACTATAAGAGCTTAGTATAAAGCTTGAAATATACTTGTACTCATAAACGGTACTCAAGTTACAAACGTTACTCAAAACACAAACAAACACCCACCGCTTTCTTCCTCTCCTCCCGGTGTTTGAGTCGCTGATCTTCCTTGTGAGCCTTGACCATCTCGGTCAGATTGGCGATAAACTCGTCCGTCTGCGTCAAGAGATAGGCCAGCCGCTTGTCCTTCTTCTCGTCGATCAGCTTCCGGTAACCCTCTTCATCCTCCAACATCAGTCGACGGAGTCGTTCCTTCTCTATGCGTTCCTGTTCTTTCTGCTTCTCCCTCTCAGCGTTCATGTGGTGCATCAGTAGCGCCTTGTTCAGCTTGTTGATCTTCTGCGAGTTCTGGCGGTGGAACTCCCTGCGAGTAAACAAGGTTGTGGTGTGGTTATTACATCATTTAGGGCTATAAGATTAGTCTAAATATATTAAGTATTTGCTATAATATCTGTTAACTATTAATAATGTGTAGCGTAAAGTACTGTACAGTCATTTCTGCTACATCGCGTGTTTTGTCAAAGCGAATTGGGTGTAACGCGATTGATGAATAAGGGAACGCTGTTTGTAAAATGCCAACTTTTGCATACGAATGTTGGTTATAACACGATTCAATCCTCAACGTTTTAAGCGTGGCGCGGGGTTATGCAATGTTTACAGTTCACGTTCGACATCATACGTTCAATTGATTCGAGTCTTTTGTTTGTGAAGTGTTTTTTGAGAGGAACTCTGTAAAAAAAAAAAATTTTTTTTGCAAATTTAGCTGTTACCCATAAATACCGTTTGAAAAGTATAAATAAAAAGAATGTTTCACAGTGAGGACTAATAATGGTTTACACCAGCGCTCTCTGTTTACATCACATGGTCAGTTGAATCGCGCGGTTTCTGTCGATTACTCCTTGAATTTAGCCGTTTTCTCCAATTTTGTTGTGTTAGCGATGAACATGGAAAGACAAGGTAAGAAGAATGTTTCCAAGAAGCGTTCAGGTGATCTAATTGCCGGTGGTGAACGTAAAATAAAGGCAATATAACACTCGAAGAGAAGCTCGACGTTATTAAACGTTTTGAAAGAACACGTGATATTGTTCGTACAACGGGAATAAAGGAGTCTACATTACGTACCATTAGAAAAAATGCAGAAAAGATTAAAACAAACTGTATATCTGGAACAACCTTGAGTGCTAACAAATCTGAGAGATCAAAGCCAAAGTAATCTGCTCCTATCCCTATTTTCCTACATAATTCCTGTTATTTTTACAGCGCGAGGTCTCACAAGAACACAACTATCGCATTGTAGCAAAAACGACTGTAGATCCATACAGGTCATGAGGTAGACATACTTGAGTTCTCTACCGTGTTGCAGTACAGCGTTGAGATATTCTTGATGTTTTTGTCTCTTCTTACGTTCAGCCTCCAGCTTCTGTTGTTTCTCCAGCTTCTCTGTGATCCGAGCCTCTCTGAGACCCTGCCGTTTGGTGCGTTTGTAAGCCTTGATGTTAATGGCCGTCTCTAGTGTTGTGTCTTTGCGGTTACAGCCTACGACCTAAAATACAATGATGGCTTATTTAATTAACCAATGTACATTATTACATTACAGTAGTACATTACATTATAGTAGTAAAGTACATATACAGTAGTACAGTACATAGGTGGCTGGTATAAAGGGTTTATTAATAATGTACTACATCAATAACTGTAGTTTGGTTGGAAAAATAACCGTGAATAAAATAATGTTCCAATAATTCTAAAACATTGTTGCATCTCCAGTGTTGCTTCTACAGTGTTGCTTCCCCAGTGTTGCTTCCCCAGTGTTGCATCTCCAGTGTTGCTTCTACAGTGTTGCTTCCCCAGTGTTGCTTCTCCAGTGTTGCTTCCCCAGTGTTGCATCTCCAGTATTGCTTCCCAGTGTTGCTTCCCCAGTGTTGCATCTCCAGTGTTGCTTCTACAGTGTTGCTTCTACAGTGTTGCTTCTACAGTGTTGCTTCTACAGTGTTGCTTCCCAGTGTTACATCTTCAGTGTTGCATCTCCAAACTATAATATAATAATTGCCACCATTTATCACTAAATAGCGGTGTAAATAATGTTATACTCACTTCAGCTCTTAACTGCCGCTGGAAGTTCAGTAGACGCAGTGCTCTCAGCTCTATTTGTGCTTTCATCTTGAGATCTTCCGCCATGGTCGCTGGCAGGCCGTTTAATTCATCAATTCGGTGAGCGATACGTGCGGCCAACCTTGAGGTGAATAACAATAATAATAAACAGATCTATATAATTATTGATCTATAGTTTAATAATGATGATGATAATAATAATTAACAAATCTATATAATTATTGATCTATAGTTTAATAATGATGATGATAATAATAATTAACAAATCTATATAATTATTGATCTATAGTTTAATAATGATGATGATAATAATAATTAACAAATCTATATAATTATTGATCTATAGTTTAATAATGATGATGATAATAATAATAATAATAATAATAATAAACAGATCTATATAATTATTGATCTATAGTTTAATAATGATAATGATGATAATAATAATAATAATAATAAACAGATCTATATAATTATTGATCTATAGTTTAATAATGATAATGATAATAATAATTAACAAATCTATATAATTATTGATCTTTAGTATAATAATAATAATAATAACAATAATATTAATAATAATAATAATAACAATAACGATACTGTAATATTAATAATAATAATAACAATAACAATGATAATTCACGAATAGATCACCTAAACAAGAATGTTATGAGAAATTAATGGAAAAATATGAAAGAAATCATCCCTACTGTCCCAAGACCACAGTGACTCATAAGACTGACCTATTGTTAGAACCACAGTCTAATAAGAGTCTTTACCCTGCTAGTATGGCATCTCTAAAGACCGTTCCCACTTTATAAATGGCGTCACTTTCTCCAACAGCTCAATCGGTTTCATTATCCATTCTCAAAACGTTGTTATAATCTTTGACGTGATACAACTACCCCCTGTAGTAGTTCCTTTAACAGGGGATAGTGAGAGAACTTGGGGTCGTTCTCAGTCATTCCTTCATCCATAATTATATTTTTCGTTTTTCTTTGAAGTTTTTGTTTCAAGATCAAGTATAATAGCAATACAGGCTGCCTACTCACTCAGTGTTGATCATGCTAGTTGTAAAGTGTGTGGCGATCTATGATGATTGATCAAACATCCTGAAGGACTAATGGGTCTACTCCTGAAGGACTAATGGGTCTACTCCTGAAGGACTAATGGGTCTACTCCTGAAGGACTAATGGGTCTACTCCTGAAGGACTAATGGGTCTACTCCTGAAGGACTAATGGGTCTACTCCTGAAGGACTAATGGGTCTACTCCTGAAGGACTAATGAGTCTACTCCTGAAGGACTAATGGGTCTACTCCTGAAGGACTAATGGGTCTACTCCTGAAGGACTAATGGGTCTACTCCTGAAGGACTAATGGGTCTACTCCTGAAGGACTGATAGGTCTACTCCTGAAGGACTAATGGGTCTAAGGACTAATGGGTCTACTCCTGAAGGACTAATGGGTCTACTCCTGAAGGACTAATGGGTCTACTCCTGAAGGACTGATAGGTCTACTCCTGAAGGACTAATGGGTCTACTCCTGAAGGACTAATGGGTCTACTCCTGAAGGACTAATGGGTCTACTCCTGAAGGACTAATGGGTCTACTCCTGAAGGACTAATGGGTCTACTCCTGAAGGACTAATGGGTCTACTCCTGAAGGACTAATGGGTCTACTCCTGAAGGACTAATGGGTCTACTCCTGAAGGACTAATGGGTCTACTCCTGAAGGGCTAATGGGTCTACTCCTGAAGGGCTAATGGGTCTACTCCTGAAGGACTAATGGGTCTACTCCTGAAGGACTAATGGGACTACTCCTGAAGGACTAATAGATCTACTCCTGAAGGACTAATGGGTCTACTCCTGAAGGACTAATGGGTCTACTCCTGAAGGCTGTATAATATATTCACCTATTTTCTCTCTCCTGTAGAAGAACTAATGGGTCTACTCCTGAAGGTTTTGTGATGGGGGTGACACGACTTGTTTTACCCCCAGCAGTAGTTACAGGGGTCGTCCCTACAGCGGTCGCTGGTACCTGCCGGCAGTTATAGACACTTAGCATAGCATAACATAGCATAATATAACATAACCTATCCTGACCAAGCATATCATAACATAGTATTAGCATAACATTATTCAACATAATATAACATAGCATAACATAATATAGCATAACCTAACCTAGCATAGCATAAGATAATGTATCATAGCATAACATAATAATAATAATAATAATAATAATAATAATAATAATAATACAGTAGGTTATAAAGGTAGTGTGTTAATAAGTGATCACCTGAGGCCTCGGGGTGGTCCCAGGAAGAGGGCCGGTCACTCCTGGTTGAGAGTTCATAACACTAACTGGTGGAGGGGGTGTTTGTGACGGCCCGGTGCCATTATACGGAGGTCGCACCACTGCCATTGGTCCTTAACAACAACAGGTTATAAATGATGAATATTAATGTTATCATCAAACAACAACAGGTTATAAATGATGAATATTAATGTTTTCATCAATATTATTAATAGATGAGATTAATAACTAGAGACAAAAACATTGTGCATACTTTATAGATATTAATACATAGTTTATATTTATATCTTTATAGTTTGTAATATGTATAGAAGGGAGTATACAGTACAGTACAGTAGACTCTCCACCAGCACTAGTAGGTCTGGTAAAACAGTGAACTCTTAAAGCTGTAATATTAACATGTGTGCTGTATAATGCTTCACATATATTATATTATGTGTAAAAAGAAACATTTGTGTGTTTCTTTATCAGTTAATATTTGTACAGTAAAAGCGTTTATTGTAAGGCATTTTTGATGCAGGTATTAGCTAACATGTTAACTATTCTGTATGGGCAGACGCTGCTTTTGAGCTGTGCGCATGACACATTCAAAGGGAAAAGCTAACACCTTGATCAGGCATTAGCCTTGTGCAGCTCCCAAGTGGTCCAAATAGCTAACAACCAATCAGGGATTTTTCCCGGTGAAAATATTGGGATCATGGCCGCTCATGGAGAATATTTTGATTAATATTGAAGAGCTGTGGGCATGTAAGGCAATAACAAACTGATATAATAATAAAAAAACTTTATATATGGCAGTATATTGGATAGGACCTAAAACAAGGCGTATGGCGTGAAAGAATTTAAAAGAATTGTGTCTCGTTGAAACCTGTTTTGGCCCCGCCCATTTTTAAGTGGGTGTTGTTTGATAATTACTCAAATATGATTGAAACTTTAACATCATTACTCATAAGATACTTTAAATAAGGGTGACCAAGTTTATTACAGTTCTGTAAGTGCAAAAATTAAGACTTAAACCAACCTGAAATTCGTTGTATTGAGTGTATATTATATGTGGACACCTGCAAACAACACAATGAAGTCTTGGTTATTGTTAGAACATACAGTACTTAGTGGATCAACCTTACTATATAATAAATGGATCAAGGCTTGGTTCTTGTTGACTGATTAACTTTTTGTCTTTCCATTATTTTCTCTATATTTTCTTCACTATTTCTTTCCACATTGTGTCCAAATAACAGTTCTAATTTTATTGAAGACTATTGTACAACAGTTACTCCCAAGACGCAGTACAAATGTTGTATTTAATAATGACAGTCCGCGAAAGGTAACGCGTTAGCTCTTCCGTGCATCTTAAAACACCTTACAATAAACCCCTTGAATCTGTCTCTAATACACCAGCTAGTTTTACTGACTTAACAGTCTTATTAACTCAGCATATTGTAATAATGTATAAGGTAGTTACTGTACTGTGCCATACTGTACTGTGCCATACTGTACTGTACTGTACCATACTGTGCTATACCATACTGTACTGTGCTGTACATTACTCGTAATATCAATAACCAAAATATATAGAGTATCTTAGGGTAACACTAACTACTGTAGTGTAGTGTAGTGTAGTGTAGTGTAGTGTAGTGTAGTGTAGTGTAGTATAGTGTACAGTATAGTGTAACACAAGACATTATAAATAACTCACCAGGATGTCTTGGGTACTGCATGGTGGGAGGTCCGGGAGGTCCTGGAGGACCAGGTGGACCCTGACTACCAGGAAGTCCTGTGGGAGGTCCTGCAGGAGGACCTGTAGGAGGACCAGTGGAAGGGCCAGTTGGAGGTCCACTTGGGGGTCCACTAGGAGGCCCCGATGGAGGGCCCTGTGGTCCAGGAAGGACAGGTCCTGGTGGCCGCGTGGGGTCCTGCTCACCCCTGCGGCCCTGGGCCATGGAGGACACGTGGTTAGGGACAGGTTGGTTGCGGGCAATACAGCGGTAGGCCATTATCTGTGCCCTCAGCTGATGCATCTGTGGAGGGTTCAGCAGGCCAGCTCTTTGTGCATCTGGGCCACCTGCTCCTGGAGGGCCATAAGCCGGGCCACCAGGAGGCCCTGATGGACCAGTACCAGCAGATGCTGAAGCACTACCTGGTGGTGGTGGCCCCATGTTACCATACTTAGCTCTCATATTAACTAAGTCAGTATAACGAGGGTCGTTTTGTAGACCTTTATCTTCCATGGTGTTAATGGCCTTCTGTAAGGCATTAAGGTTCTCCTGTTGGAAGCTGCCACCACTAGGACTAGGACCATTCGGGCCACCACCACTTGGGGGAGGTAATCCACCACCTGGAGGGCCACCAGCAGGACCCTGAGGAGGATGATGGCCACCTGGACCCATTGATGGCCCTTGTTGGGGCTGTGGAGGGTAACTGTTAGGGTATGAACCAGGGGTCTGTGGCCAACCCTGAGTTCCCTGAGGGTATGAGTGATGAGGACTGGGCCCTCCTTGTGGGGACATGCCAGGGCCACCCGGAGGGCCCTGCTGCGTGGGCGGTACACCCGGACCAGGGGACATTACCGGCGGACCCATGGGTGAAGGAGCCTGGGGTGGACCCATGGGTGACGGGGCCTGGGGTGGACCCACAGCTGGGGAGGTTGCTTGGGGCGGAGGCATGGGTGATAGTGACTGCTGGGGAGGACCCATAGGTGAAGCTGCACTCCCTGGGTTGGGACTTGGTGCAGACATCTTCCTGGAATAAAGACATGACGTTACTATACACCACACACCACTATACACCTCTGTTATACACCACACACCACACTATACACCACACACCACTGTTATACACCACACACCACACTATACACCACACACCTTTGTTATACACTATACACCACACCACACTATACACCAGTTATACACCACACACCACTATACACCACACTATACACCACACACCATTGTTATACACTATACACCACACCACACTATACACCAGTTATACACCACACACACCTCCCTACACCACATTATACACCAGATCATTTATTACCTACAAAACAAACCGTAACGACCAAACGACCAAATTAAAACGGCTTAATTACTCCAAAACACATGAAGTTTGAGGTCAAAGGTCAATAAGTTTATACATTTGTCTCACATAAAGATAAAGATAAGATATAATGCCAACGTATAATAGTACTAATTTAATCTCAGCTATTAAACTAACTAGCAGACATTCTCTACATGTTCCTATTAGTTACAGATGACGCTAAAAACAGTTAATTAAATATAAAGAGAGATTTTAATAATAGTAACACGACCATAAGCTCAGGATATGTGTCCCCCCAAACCCGGCCAATACATAACGTCTCTATTACAACGTTTACCCCTACATTATATTATCAAATATTACGTATTTTAACCTGTAGAATGTTACGTGTTTGATGAAAGTCTCACCTTTTAGCTCAGGGACATTATATATGGTAGAAAATTACTGGAAGTTTACCCGGAGAGGAGACAACAACAGGGTACCATAGCTTGCTTGCAGGTGTGCCAAGTCTCGGTTAGTTATTTGGTTTGTTATTGGATTAAACTATATGTGAGGGAATTGATAGTTAGTTATGTTGATTTTTAGTGCTATAATGTGTATTTTTTTATTTATTTTGTGATGACATGATTGTGTAATGTATTTATGTATTGTGTTATGAGGAAGTTTGGCACCATAGGAGGTGTATCAGCGTCATGTAGCAAATCCTTTGTTAATTTGTTGTATTTATTTATTTATATAGATATTTAGCCGGATAACTAGATATATTTATTTATAAGAATAATTTATTGTTTTATTTAGTAATGTTATAAAGTTTTTTAAGAACAAATAACAATATAATTATTACCATTCAACATTACACAATAAATCAAATATTTCCTACACAGTTTACTAAATCAATATAAAACAAACCTAAAAAACATTATATTTATTTTTACATATAATAATTAAAAATAAAACAATAAAACTTTAGTAATAAAAGACATAACACAGACACTAGAGCCATGAGTGAAGGTGATGCATGGCTGGTCTGGTCTGGTCAGCCTCCTGGAGCCTCTCTCATATCTCAGCCTAAATGTCAGCCTACTGGACCACCTATCACTCTACATAAAAAGTACAGTATTTAACTCTCTTATAATAATCATTTACCAACATAATATATCAATAATTAAGGTGTTTAGGGACGAGAAATATATGGGGGTAGTTTTCTGGGCCAGACATTTTTGTTATTGTTTATTATTTATTTGGTGATACAAACATACACACACACACACGTACACTACTACTACACACATACATACATACATAAACTACTACTACATACACTACTACTACTACAACTACTACATACATACGTACATAAACTACTACAACTACTACATACATACGTACATAAACTACTACAACTACATACATACATACGTACATAAACTACTACTACTACTACATACATACGTACATAAACTACTACTACATACACTACTACTACTACAACTACTACATACATACGTACATAAACTACTACAACTACTACATACATACGTACATAAACTACTACAACTACATACATACATACGTACATAAACTACTACAACTACTACATACATACGTACATAAACTACTACAACTACTACATACATACATACATAAACTACTACAACTACTACATACACTACAGACAAACAAACACATACATACAAACATTTATACATACAGACAAGCATGCATACATATTTGTACATACACTACCACTACTACATACATACACACATACACACATAGACAAACAAGCATATATACTGTACATACATACATACATACATACATACATACATACATACATATAACTTCCTATGATGGTGAAATACTATAAGACAAGATGTGTAATTAATTCTGTACTGTGTCCGGCACTTATTGTTAACACTAATGACTGTAGTGTGGTGTGGTGTAGTGGTGTGGTGTAGTGTGTGGTGTAGTGGGGGTGTAGTGTAGTGGTGTGGTGTTGGTGTGGTGTAGTGAGTGGTATGGTGTAGTGTGTGTGTTGTGTGGTATGGTGTAGTGGGTGTGGTGTTGGTGTGGTATGGTGTAGTGGGGGGTAGTGTGAGTGGTGTGGTGTATGTGGTAGTGTAGTGGTGTAGTGGTGTGGTAGTGGTGTGGTGTTGTGTGGTATGGTATGGTAGTGTAGTGGTGTGGTGTTGTATGGTATGGTGTAGTGGTGTGGTGTTGTGGTGTAGTGGTGTAGTGGTGTGGTGTTGTGTGGTATGGTGTAGTGGGGTGGTGTAGTGGTGTGGTGTTGTGTGGTATGGTGTAGTGGTGTGGTGTGTTGTGTGGTGTAGTGGTGTGGTGTAGTGGTGTGTGTGGTATGGTGTAGTGGGGTGGTGTTGTGTGGTATGGTGTAGTGGTGTGGTGTGTTGTGTGGTGTAGTGGTGTGGTGTAGTGGTGTTGTGTGGTATGGTGTAGTGGGGTGGTGTTGTGTGGTATGGTGTAGTGCGCTCCGACTAATTACCCAAATGTAGCCAAATATAGTCGCAATGAAGTCAAATAATGGTCCTACATGACCCAACTATCGTTTACTTGGTAATTTCAGATAAATGCCAGACAGCATGTGGCACGAGGCGAGAAAACAGGAGAGGAAGATCCGTGGGATGCTCGTTGACTACAAGCGCAGAGCTGAACGACGTCGAGAGTATTATGAGAAAATCGTAAGAGTCTTTAATTGGTTGTTAGGTAGTTACTGTCAGCTTTCCTTACTACACTATTTTATCTTTATTTGTTAGTTATTATTTGTCTTCTATTTATAATTTTAATTGTTTTACATTGACCATGAATAAGTAGATAATACTGTACTGTGCTATACTGTACCGTACTGTATTATGTAAAGTTTCAAAATGAACCTGAATTTGGTACAGTATTTTATGTTAGCCATTGACCTTTTTTATTTTATTCAGTGAGTAGTAACACTGATCGTGCCAAATATGAGATCTTGCTGTACAGTTTTGATGTACAGTTCACACAAGAACAATTACTGAACATTTATTGTTTATTTATAACAATCACTGTACACATTTACTGAACATTTATTTATTTACAGAAACAAGATCCAACACAGTTCATACAGCTGCATGGCCGCCCCGTCAAGATACATCTGGACCCAGCTGTGGCCTATGCTGCTGAGGCCCCTGGCAGCATGTGGGTGATGTAGCCATGTTGAGGCCACTGTTAATATTTGTCTGGGTGTACTATATTAGGTGGCCATATTGGGTGGTTATGTTGTGTACAGTATGGCAGTTAGCTATACAGTTGTTGTAGAGGATGCTATACAGTATTTTTTTAAATATACAATAGTTAAGCAGTGTTCCTTTAAGGCCGTCATCCAGGACATTGTGAGGAACTGATCAACTTTTTAGGTGTAAAATTTAAGGCACGATTTTCTGCTCTGTTCTTTTCTGCTTTGCTGTGCTCTGTTCTTCTCTTTCCTGAATATTATACTACTACACTATAAACCTAACCTAACCTCTCCTCTAGGATGCCATGGCGAGGCGATTCGGACTCCATGATCGATCGTTTCGACGTCAGGGCCCACTTAGACGACCTGCCTCCGGTGTCCTCCAGTTCGTTGAAGCTCACGGCTGAAGAGGACTGGGAGGAGCGTCAGGCAAACTACGAGCGTTACCGCATACTAATACAGAATGATTTCCTGGCCAGTAAGTTGTTGTTTTTTACGTTTTTATCAATATTTACGTTTATTTGTGTCGCTTGGTGTGTTATTGTTTTGTTCTTTTTGGCGTTTTATCAATATTTACGGGTTAGTTATTTCTCTTGGGGTAGTAAATTGTATTATTTTTTTTAAGTTTTTATCAATATTTACGTGTGATTTATTTCACTTGGGGCACTAAATTATTGGTGTTTTTTTTTTACTTTTTTATCAATATTTACGTTTGATACCTTGCCTAGGCTTATGGTAGAGTATTAAAGGCTGAATTGTAAATGAAATTGGGGCATAAATAAATAAAAACATTGAACAATTTCCAACCTTGAAATAGTTTACTGTACTTAAAGCTAACTCAGCTATTATAGTGGGTGGTGAAAAGCTAACTCAGCTAATATAGTGGGTGAAAAGCTAACACCTACTTTACTGAGTGAAAAGCTAACTCAGCTAACACCAGTAACTATACAGGGATGCAATTTAACTACCCCTGATGCTGGATTACACATCAAACAAGTCAATAACGATCCCTGCGGTAGTTGAGGGGGGGAGCTAAGCTAATGCTATATAGATCACGTCAATAAATGGTTTAACAATTGTTTTATCTTTTTAGGGTTTTTATGTTTTAATTCAGTTTTATAACCCTGATGCCTCTCTCCCCCCTCTCTCTCTCTCTCTCTCTCTCAACAGTCAAAGAAGAAAAATTCCTCCACCAAATACGTCTAGAGGAACAGTTCGGTCCAATTGTCAACAAAACAATCGAGGAAGAAAAGAAAGCTTTAGCTCCTAAGAAAGCTGCCATCGCCTTCACTTACACAGAGGAACCGGATGATGGAGAAGAAGACAGACCTGGTTCATCCAATGCTGATTCTATTGTTCCTGAAGGAGGGGATGAAGCGGCGGGTGAAGGCTCGGACGATGAGAGTGACAGTGATATTGACCTTGGTGAGTTTAGTGGGTGATCTTGGTGAGTTGGGTGAGTTTAGTGGGTGATCTTGGTGAGTTGGGTGAGTTTAGTGGGTGAGTTGGGTGAGTTTAGTGGGTGATCTTGGTGAGTTGGGTGGATGAGGTGATTCAGGGCCATTTTGAGGACCTAACTCCCGTGAATTTGACGGTCCAGTTGTACTGTTGTGTTTGTACATAATAATATGCTATACACTAATGATTGTTCAACTATAATGCTATACATTCTTTGAAAACATAATAATATGCTATACACTAACGATTGCCTCACTATACTGCTATACATTCTATGATAACAATAATATGCTATACACTAACGATTGCCTCACTATACTGCTATACATTCTATGATAACAATAATATGCTATACACTAACGATTGCCTCAATATAATGCTTTACATTCTATCACAACATAATAATATGCTATACACTAATGATTGCCTCACTATAATGCTATACATTCTATCACAACATAATAATATGCTATACACTCGCCACCACCTCACTACAATGCTATACGCTCTACCCCAGATCTGACCGTGGATGTCATGTCACTGTCTAACACACAACAACAAGAGATGAACGTGTCAGGGGTGGAGTACGGCCTCAACCAAGACGACTTCATGTCACTCATTAGCCGCGACCTTCAGGAGGCCGAGGAACTGAGGGTGGCCAAGGAACACGAAGATGAGAAGGCCATGTATTCGGTGTGTGGCCATTGATGTACTTTTGTGGGTTGGGTTAGGTTAGTGTTAGGTTAAGTTGGGTTAGGTTAGCTTAGGTCCTGATTCCCTTTAGTAGATCATTCTCTCTCTCTCTATATGTTGTGTTAGGTATATTATACAAGATGACTCTCAAAGCCAGAAATAAATCCCTTATGCCCAGAATTTTCCGAGTAATGGAAATATTTTCTCGGAAGTTCCAGAAATTGCCCATGAAACCATCTCTTGAACCTGGAAAAATATCTCCCATCCCCAGAATTTTCCGGTTATTGGGAAAATTTTCTCAGAATTTTCCGGAAAATCTACCCCTAAGAAAATCGTTCCCAAAGCCGGAATTTTCTGGAAAATTCCGGCTTTGGGAACGATTTTCCGAGACAATTTCAATTCCGGTCATTGGAGAGTTCTGGGTTTGAAGAATTCTGGCTAACAGACAGAGATACTGTACTGTACTGCACTC